GGAGAGGCGTTTGCATTGATTTTCGCAAACTCAATCGCATTATAGTGTTTGATGCAGAACCAATGCCATCGCCTGAAGGCGATTAAAAGAGGGTCAGTAAATTTATCTAACCAAGGGGTACTGGCAGATCCCCATGAGTGAGGCGGGCTAAAAAAGACAGCCTACCTAGAAAGGTAGTCTGGGGGATCTCCAAGAACATGCCTTTAATCACTTGAAAGTTGTATTGAGTAAGAAATCAATTTTAATGTTTCCTGATTTTACTAAGAGTTTTATTTTGAGACTCGATGCATCAGAAGTTAGGCTTGGCATTGCAACAACATGAGGAAGACAAATTTCCAGTGGCATACGCCAGTAGTAAATTGCTAGCCAGATAGAAGTCTTACTCTGTAAGTGAAAAAGAGTGTTTCAATTATTTAGCTACCGCATTATAGCAATTAAGGTAAAGAAAATATTGATGCCGACTATTTAAGCGGGATTGAGATTGAGGTTTTTTGAGTAATGTGATGTATCAATTTGGATCACGTGATTCATCTTATGAGAAAGACATGTTACTTTATACTAGACACAGACATATTTGTTCGGTAAAACACACTGAATTGCCTACGTGACACAGCTGCTAGTAAGACCACATTCTAATTGGCTCATGTGGAAACCCTGGTGGTGTCCCTGAATCTGGGCCATTTCTGTCTATAGGCTAAACTAAGGACATCATTTCTACTGAGTACCCTTAGTGTTCTTGCTGCGATATTGTGAGACAAGTGATACAGGCTTCAATTATTAGTCTGTGAGACTTGTATGAACTGCTCTGCGATATCCTGCTTTTAGCGGTGCCCTCCAGAATACCAGCGTACCTCTGCAAGCAAGACTCCTGTATTTCTTCGTTGTTGTGTTGCAGAAGCCATCGACTGTCACCCATCTCTACATCCTGGAACTGTGAGTTATCACCAATGCACACTTCCATAGGCCATCCCCTATTTTAATTAATGTATTCATTGTATTTTTCTGTGCTTTGTTTCTTGTAATTATTTTGAGAGGTATTAAAGCCAGGAGCTTTAACTTGATATTTTGCTGTATGTGTATTTCATTTCCAGTAATTTTGTCTTGTCTGCACCATTCTAGCAGTGAAGGAATCCCCTGTCCAGTGTGAGTTCTGTGGGTGCCCCTCTCAATAGCAATTCGCAGGCCCTGCACTGTGACAGTATGCAATTTCCAGTAACCATTTTAAAGTTGCAACTACATATAATGCATTTGAGCTGTTAGCTATTAGGTGCTATTAGAGTATTCACATGAATGTCTGGATAGGGTGGCTGATGCTCACATGATTGTTGGTGGCATCTAGAAAGAAAGTACAAAGCGACGTGTGCGTGAGACATAAACAACACGACTGTCAAACAGTAAATGAGATATTCTAATACATTAACAACTAGTAATTCTCTATTTCAGGGTGCCAGCGGCTAGACCAACAGGTGCAGACCTGCCTTAGCAAAAAGCATCCGTCGTAATTTAAGTCACAGTGAAAACGAGTTTTTTTCTGTTTTGTTCCCATACCTGCATCAGGACAGACTACTAGTATTTGTCATAAAATCAGCTAATGTAGTAGGATCACCTGTATGTAATTCGCTACATGCACAAAATTTACTCACCGATGCATTTGACTACTACCTAGTACCAATCACTGTTAATGGGCTCTTGCCTTACCCCCAAATCTGTTTCCTTATTCGCTCTGAACAAACGACTTTTCGCCTATCAGAATCAAAGGATACAAGACCGAGCATAATGCAGTGTAGACCTAGAAACCGATTTAAAAATCTAGTGTCATTGTTTAAGTTTTACTCTTAACAGTAACCAATCAAACATCTCCCTAAATAGCACGAGATATAAATCAGTGAATTCAGTAACACTTGAACATTTGACCTGCAAGACAGATTTCTATTTTTTTTTTTATATATTTAAGTTAATTTTATTTATTTCCAAAATAACAAATACACAGACAAGAAAAGAAAAAGGCTGTACACACTAACTGGTTCACCACCAAAACATAAAGTGACGTTGTCTTATGGTGCAAAATTGGCCCATTTTTCTAGAAACAGAAACGTGGTGTTTCTTCTTATGGAAATCATATTTTCTATCTTTCTTATATAACTAATTTCAGCTTTAATGGCAGCAAAGGATGGTAATTCTTTCTTCATTTTGCTTGTATAGATGCATTTTTTAAAGATTATAATTAAATGGTTCAAAAGGTGCGAAAAACTTTCATCACCTAGGAGAATCTGTTTTGCTGAAAGTGGCCGGGGGCACTGCAAAAGTTGACCCCAGTGATCATAAAACCTTGTCCAAATATCTTGCACGACATGACAGTCACGAAAGAGATGAATCAGAGTTTCACTAAAGTTATGGCAAAATGTACACATGTCAGAAATAACTAAAGGTGATTGAAAGTGATATAGCATAGCATTTGTGTACAGGATGTTATGGTTTAATTTCCATTGAAATTCACGAAGAGTACTGCAAA